TATAATGCCACGTAATAGATTTCGCCTTTAGAAGACATGGCATTTTTCAAACAATCAAACAATAACCGGTTTTAATAAGCTCGAGAAGATTCAGTCCATTCTGAGCTATTTATTAGATAAATTTAAATCAGTATATAGGCATAGGAAAGAACTTTCACTTGATGAATCCATTATTCCATGGTGTGGAAAATTATCTATAAAAACATACAATCCGGCAAAAATAATAAAGTATGACCTACTTTGCCTATACATACTATGCGAAGCTAGAACCGGATACGTTTCCAATATAGAAATATACTGTGCAGAAAGCAAAAAATTGGACCAGACAATTATGTCATTACTTGATAAAAATATATGTTTGGGACACTGCTTATTATATGGACAATCTCAGATTGAAAACTGGAGAATATAGATGTAAAAGAAAAGGTGAAGTTTTGGTACAGGTGTGGAAGGCGAAACAGAAGGTCATATACATGGTTTCCATGATACATTTGGGAGAATTAATGAAAACAAATAAAATACAGTAGAAAACGAAACAAGAAATGATAAAACTGCATTCTGTCATAGAATATTATAAATATATGATGGGTATAGATTTGGCAGATCAGTATTTATCATATTATTCCATCATGAGAAAAACAGTGAAGTGGACAAAGAAGACAGTCTTGTTTCTTTTAAATTGTGCAACGTTTAATGCATTTAGATTATATGTACAAATGAAGTATAAAGCATTTTTCTTTTACTGTGTAATGTTTGGAAATTTATTTCATTAAGCATTAAATAATAGCTATGAGAAATAAAAAGTATGGAACAACTGCTATGCTTGGCAGCAATCCATACAAATTTATATTGAATTTATATTCAATACCTTTAACATGAAAAACATAATACAAATATTAGATTATTTTTCCATATTCTAAAACATGCTTTATTAATTGATACAATAGTCTTTTAAGGGTATTAGGGTTGACCTACAAGTTAAAAGCTACAAAAAATAATGTTTCTGTTACGTGTTGTAAAAGATAAATTAGATAAAAAAAATAACACAAGTATTAATACAAACTTTGTATAAGAACTTTGTAGAAGAAAAAGAAATCAAATTTTTAAAATGCAAATTAACAGTTAAAAGGAGTTATTGAAGAATTACTTTCTAATATTTTATGATATAGAACCATACGCCCTGAGCTACAGAAATAGCGGTGATAAAAATTTTATTTTCTGAAGGAAATTAATAATAACAGCTCTTTATAGAGCCATATGATGCGCAAAATCCATTCAGAAACCTCTGCATGATGCACATCAGGTAACGCTAATGCCAGTGGTATATGCCATAAATGCAAGGATTTCTTTAAAACGCTGTATCTTTGCAGAAAAAAAATGGCAATGGTGTTTCACATACTGGCAATTAAAAATAGAGGTTTGTACTTTATGCTCCTATAAACAGTATTGCCAGAAAAAAGTGGCAAGTCTACGCATTTCATCAAACTTTGTAATTTTCAATATAGCAAACATACCCCCGCATGTTACTGTCTACTCTTATCTACTCTCACAACCAATAGCTTATCAAATAGTGACTATACTTTTTAATATTTGAGCATAGCAAAATTCCTACACGTCCTAAAAATATATTTTCTTAAACTAATAAACATTGAAGAAAAGTAATTAAATCATTTTTCTAATAACTGTTTATGAAAATCACTGTCAATGTAATATTTCTAAGCAGGAATGTCTTCTTTAACACTAATTGTGCTACAATATACCGTGAAATAGTCAGGAAATCTGAAACATTAGTTAAAATTTGCTTTATTTGCCATTAAACAATGACAATATTCTAGCTTTAAATAAAATTGACACTAGTTCCTTATATATTATCTGAGTTATCTTGTACTTAAATACCTTAAATAAAATAAACATTCACATGTACTTGAGCCTATGCTCACGGTACAATTTCCATTTTCGTTATAATTGCCATTGATGGGTTTGATTTTAAATAAATGATTGTGAACTTCAATGATATGTTTAATGTTATTAAAAAAATACATGCTTTTATCTGTATAAAAAAGTACTTAAAAAAAAAAGTGCTAATATTTTATATCAACAGAGCTTTAATATTTCTTACATTACTTACATCTACATCACAAATACACATAATTTTTAATTTAATACTTCTAAATTTGAAGAGTTATATACTCAATTTTATTTATTAAAACTTCGTTTTTTGTATTAAACAAAACTTTAAAATATAGTACATTCATAGTAAATTTTTCAATGACAAATCGTCAAATTTTATCATTGAATTAGTCTACATAACCAATAAAATGATAATAATAGTTATATTTGTTGTGACATATTCGAAATTAGAAGCATTTGTTTAAATAATAATAAATTTTACATGCATATCGTTAAAAACATGAAGAGATATGTTATAAAATTGTTAACCTAACCTTAATTTTTTGAATTCGCAATTGTATTTATCAATGTTGTGCAATCAAAAAATATTATATAACAATAATTTAAAGCTATCAAATCAATATTAATCAGTCATTAACTCACCAACGTAAGAGCAGCTCTTGTAGCAAGTATCTTTCTACCTTTAATAGCACGAACTGTTGCAGTAGCAATTATAGAAGAAGCCATATTAAATTCACTGTAAATACGGATAAATAAAATATCACTGAACTGATTTAAAGTTCAGTAGCCAAAATACATTTAGGTTCCACGCGAGATTACTGTGACAACATACATATTTCATCTTATGAAACAATTTCAAAACATGTTCAACTAAGAGTAGGTTTAACAAGAGGTAACACTCCAATAAAAAAAAACTACGTTTAGAGAGAGACGAAATGATTTAACTAATTTAAATGTCCATGTAAAAATCGAACAGAGTAGGGATATATTTTAGATAAAATACTCCGAAAAACAAGCATTTATTCAAACAAACAGTTTATTTAATACTAACATAGTGCTACCTGTCCTGTAAATTATATGAAATTATTCATGTACCATAAAATATATTGTAAGTTTTATCCATACTTACTACATAAGCAAACAAAATTATTTAGATATTTCATTTGTACATATATTTCCAATATAATGAAGAATAATAAAGAATATCTGAAATCTTCAGTTTATAGGTCCATTTTATTCTTCTAGTAAAAAGAAATTATAAAAATTCATCTTGAAAAATCAATGTTCCAAATATCATGCCATTTTGAGATTTGAAAACAAATAGCATATAATATCGAAAGAACAATTTAATAAACTGAACATTTAAAGAACATTTAAATTTCTAATCAAGCAATAAAAGATATTAATTAAGCAGATATATGCAAAACTTATTAGTAGCTCATTTATAGATAATTCTAACGATTGAAAGATAATTCTAAAAATTCATGCAAACTTCGTTTAGTATATGTATAATACAATATCTTTTAACATTTTTAATTTGTTTCAACTTGTGTATTATTTGATTTAGGAAGGGATAAAGCTATTAATTTCGATGAAAAATAGGAAGGCCTGACTTCAATTTACCTATAAATATTTTAATTACTCCATAATCAATTGGTTAATGTATTTTTTGTAAGTGGAGCACATTTATTGTAAAATTAATAATTAAAAATTAAGCAGATTTTTTTCAAACACAGTTATAAGAGATGTACAAGAATCTCCAAAAATAAAACATAAAATGTAGCTGTTACTATATGAAGGTGTTTCTCTAAATAGTGTTAGTTTTGAATGAGGAAAAAAGGATAATGTAATTAAAGGAGTATAGACATATAACTTTATAATGCACATTTCAAAATTAAATATTTTTACACATAATACAAATAGTAAACAATAATCAAATGTATCAATATCGCGATGATTGAAAGTATATCCCTAACATGTTAAAAGCATTATGTGAGTTCATTATTATGTGTTGTTAAATTATATCAATTTTTATTTATATCACACTTTTATTACTATTTAGATAATATCTAATACTTTTGTTGTTTATATATATATATATATATATATATATATATATATATTTTTTTTTAATTTAAAATATATATATGAATTTCAGTTCACTACATCAAAATGTGTATTTGGTGCTAAAATTATTTAAATTTATTAATATAATCTATTTATTATTTTGTCCTGAATAAACTATTTAATTTAACATTGACATATTTTATTTTAATTGTATTTTAATTAAAAATAAATTAATACATATGTACAACAAAATAAACGCAAAGGTATTAATTATTTGTAAATATACACAATAATTTATGTACCATATAATTACAATGACTATAACTTTCTTTCCATCAAGTGAGTTATTACTCTAGAGTCTTATTTTCTTTTAAAATATTTAGTAAAATTCTTTCTTTCTTTTTGTGCTTTTCAAATTAGAGCCCGCGCACAACCAGCAACATGGCGATCTTTTAGTCATGAGATTAAAGGTGCCGACACCGAGTGAACCTACTGTGCTTTCTTATACTGTGACCCAAATCAGATTCAAACGATAGTGTTACAGTATCTTTCTCATGTCATCACCAATTCTTGTCATTTCTCTATTTTATCTCACTGCGTATATGACCATGAAGATGAAAGTAAACCATAGGTCATAACACTTGTGATTAGAAAACCTGCATGAATTAAGTCCTTTCTCTCATGAAACGAAGTATACTCTAAATTTGTAAAAATATATACAAAATATATACTGTTAAAAATAGCCTTGACAAGATCTAATACGAATATAGCAAATTAATAGCTTTTTATTTAAATTTTGTTTGCGACATTTCTTTTAGCATAGTCTGACTCATTAAATATCAAATACACGATATTTATCGCATGTGGGCTATGCTATGCGATATATGATATTCCAATAATAATTATAAAATATTGTATGCAATAGTTTTTTTTAGAATAAACCCCGTCTTTATTTGACTCTTAAGCCGCATTTAAATTAAGCGAAGGATGGTTCTGTGTCTTTGTCAATATGGCGTCTCCAACTCTTCCGTTTAATCGGCCATTTCGTTGTTCTGTGATATCAGAAGTGTACCATGAGGGACGACGTAACTACTTCGGACGATCCTGTTCAAAAAGAAGAAGAAGTAGCCCATTTTCAAGCACCAGCAATTCAACATAATCCTGATGGCTGGGGTCCTTGTGAACTACCTGATCAATTTAAGGATATACCTTATCAACCATTCTCGAAAGGCGATAGACTAGGAAAGGTTGGTTATTATTTTATTTTCCATTTTATTTCATATTATATATTATAAACTATGCATATTTTTCACATTGATTATTATTATTTTTGCTACAGATATCTGATTGGACAACACCAGCGTTCCAAGATAAGAAATTTCCTAGTAAGTGTCTTTTATATTCATTTAACTTATACATATGTTTCTAATAAATTTTTTATTTTATTGTTTAGTAAAATTTAATTACAATGTATTTATTATAAATATAATGAAATTTATTCTCTAATATAAAATTATATTATGCTAAACATATTTACAAAAAATCTATAATTTTGAGTTAATCATTATATTTATACATTTCTATATTTTAGAATTATGAAATAAATATTTAATTATTTACACATCTTTTCAGTTACAAATGCATTAATAAGTATTCCTAAGGATTTATTCTTAATAATTTGTAAAGTATGTATTTTATAAAATCCTTTTTTTATATGGGAATAATATAATACTGAAATTAGAATGTATATAGAAACAGGTTTTTTTTTTATGTAATTGTTTGTATACAAAGTATCAATGTGATTTTATACTTTTTAAAGCAAATATTTATATTTTCATTCCAAAATTTAAAAGAAAAGCAGATTTTTTATAAGAAAATACTAAATTTCACTTGTTTAAAAAAACCATATAATTAGCATTTATGAACATCAAATATTTATAGGAATGTTATTTGTGGCCCCAATAATCTTTAGTAATGGTAGATATATAAAGTGATATCCATCGACTTTCATATAAATGTGTAATCTATTAATTAATAACAACAGAATAGATTGAATTGTCTTTATAATAATAAATTTTGCATAGATCTTAATAATTTAGATTTATTGGTGTCTATTGTTGATGGTTCACAATAAATGACTAAGCACTATTTTTCTATAAGAATATGACCATGAAATATAGGGTAAATAAAGTTTAATACTTTAATAACTCACTGCTGTTTCAAATTTTGATACAAAATGTTATGTATTTCATTTAAAAAGTTCAAACCTGTCATGATATTTTAGTGAAAATTATTTTAAAAACCTGTTTCTGCACCATATGTTTTGTTTGATATCAAGGAGTTTTTATGTAAGATAAAAAATCTTCTTAAAGAAAACTTATTACAGAAGGTATTTGGAGTAGACATATGATACATTGTCTGTATAAAAGTAGTGATAATAAACTATGTATAATATTGTTTAAAATATTAATTTCAAAATTTTGGAAATAGTATATAGGAATATATTCATTATTACATTAGAAGTAGAAAAATATTGGCGCAAGTACAATGTACAAGCTGAATATTCAAATCAAAATGACACTTTAAAATAATCATTAACTTGCCTTGTTATTGAGATGTCTTAACATATTATGTATGTATAAGAAAATGATGGGTAGATATATTAAGGAATAAACTTAAACATAAATCTTTAATTGTTGTTTTTGATGAAGACTGAAATGTATTTATTGATAAATAATGCATATATATCAAGAAATGTTCCAAGTTTTCAAACTGATTTTGTTTGTTGTAATATAAGTTTTGAATGTGCAAAAACTTTTAAATCTTTTTAACGAGTCTAATTGTTTTCTTAATTTTCAATTATTTGTATATTTTAAAGTGATGTTAATAGCTAATCAATGAACAGTTAAATAGTATTTACTATTTATTAATTATAATGATACATATTACATATATGTATCATACTTACTATATATATAGTTTCAGTGACTAAATCTCGTAATTTCATTTAATGGTTAATATGTAAATAAAAATTGCTATAAATCTTGATTTTATAAATATAAGGAGTTATGTATATAATTTAATATAGATAACAATTTAATTAATATAAATAATTTGCATGAATTACTATTACTGGATAAGAACATACAATTAATTTTATAAAACATGCATTATACACATTTAAAATTCACTGCGCAGTGACACTACCATAGTTCATACACCATCCATCTGCATACATCATGTTCGCATGTACAACCATTATATTACCTACCACTTGATTTACTAGTTTTGCTTGTGCTATTATTCTCTTCATTTTTATTAGTATCTATTATCAAATATTTTTCTCTTTTTATATTGTACAGGTCTGTAATGATTTTGTACTTGGGACAGTAAAAGATATTGCTTATAACAACCCTTCTGCAACAACAAAGCCTTTCCCAATTTTTGTAGTATTTTTTCCATATCCTTAATAGGATTTTCTGTTGTAACATTATTTAGTATACTACTATCACAGTATTTTTTCAACCTTTATTTCGCTTGAGAGAATCAATGTTTTCTCTACCTACCTGAACTTAGCACCCGACTTTCAAAAATTTTATTTCTTTCAATTGCATCGTATTTAGCATCGTTTGTACCCGTTTGTACCACCTTTCATTTCGTTTGTACCCTAAGGAGTTCGTTAGTACCGCCTTGTGATACCCAGCACCCCACTATTATTCTAGTAAGTGCTAATTTTTACGATCTTATTTTATCTATTTCTAGTTTTATCATGTAGCTGGGTTATTCCACGCCAAATCGATCACATTTGGACCTTATCATCTGTGATTTTACTCTAATCAAAATATGTTGTAATCCGTGAGAAATTTGAGGGGAGGGGGTTTAAAGTTATTTTTTTGCCGGTTTCGAAGTTGTTAAAAAATAACAAGCTTTCAAAGTTTTCAATATTTGCACATTTTAGCGAAAATAGGATTCACTTACGAATTTTTTTCTCAGAAACTACTCATCCGATTTAGCTAAATATTTATTTGTTTACTCATAAAGGATTGGTCTATTTTAAATTATTTTTTTTTAAATTCGTCAGTTTGTTATAAAATATAAAAAAAAAATTAAACAAATTATACTTTTTGCTTTTTTTTCAGTGAGGACTATAAAGGATTTAAATTTGGAAAAATATAGTCATATTCTTCAAAATTTCCCTTTTAATATAAGACCTTAAGAAAGATGGAGCTTCGAAAATTGATGTCTCAATAAACTGAAATAGGATGCGGTGTACCTCCGTTTCAAGTAGACGAGTCGTACGTTCCGCCATTATGATCGGTTGTTTTGTACCACTGTTCTTAAAGCAATACGAGAAGATTTTGTACACAACTAAATAAGCCTATTCATACCCCGAAAGGTATACTAGCAGTCACTCTTGATCAATAATGCATATTCAGTTACGTCAAACCTAACACTGAAGCGATATGAGTGGGATCCATTTGTTCGGTCATCAGTTTCAAAATATTAAAATAGTAAAAATTGTTAGGTTGTAAAAAACATTGACAGGGGAGCTGCGCAATATAAAAGTAAAGAGAATTATATTAATTCCACTAATTATTTTTACGATTTCGATGTTTCTGTAGAATGACATTGTTTTGTAATAACTCATGGTAAGGGACCATATGCTGGTACTTAAAGGAGCATTAAGGCACTTGCATACTACACGCATACTACATGCATACTACAGTATTCTCTCCGTAAATGTTAAAATGATCTCTACCGTAAATGTTAAAATTCTATCCCCACTCCTGGGGGGATCCTCCTCGAAATTAGTCAAGAATGAAACACAATCAATCGCCGAAACGACGAGGATCTAATCGGTGAGACACATACTAATGCAAGCAAAGGAAAAGATTGCAACTTTCTTATTTCTTACTATTTTTTCATGAAACTTTTACTATCTTATTTGTCTAGTTTTCCTGATTAAAATGACACCAAACATGATATAATTACGTTAACAAATGCGTGTGTAACGAGTGATTAAAGTTTTTAACATAAAAGAGGACGGCGAATGGAAAAGAAAGAGAGGCAGAAGGTTGACGCGTTCGGCAAACATGAAAAAATCGTGCGTATTCTGTCTTTTAAATTCAAAAATCAAAATTCTTTATTTTGGGGTTTCGTGAATGAATCTTTGATTATCGTATTCGTCTCGTTTTTTTTATTAAAATGGTACCAAACACGATATAATTAAAATCACAATTACTTGTATAGCAAGCCGTTAGGAGGAATTCGTATCTCTACTGTAAACGTAGTTTCCCGTAAGTGTGAAAGCCCGAAACTTTTATGGCTTGTTACATAAATAATTACGATCGTAATCATATCATGTTTGGTGTCATTTTAATCAGAAAGACGAGACAAATACGATGGTAAAAGTTCCATTAACGTAAAACCAAAAATAAAGAATTTTGATTTTTGAATTTAAAAGACAGAACACGCACGAGTCTTTCATGTTTGCCGACTGTTCGAAACTGTATCCCTTCTTGTCTTTTGTATCGCTGTCTCTTTCTACGTTTTTAAATGATCTGTACGATATGTGCACCAAAGTTATCCCCACCACTGGGG